TCCCCCTGAAAAGGCAGCCGGATATCCGCATCGCGCGGATATCCGGATGCAACGGGGCCATCTCTATATATAAATATATCTGTATCTTTAGTGGTATTGGGAGGAGCTACCACTCATTGGGATGAGACATTAGTAGTAGTACCTTTGCACTGCACCAAAAGAGCTCTTTGTTACAGCTGCTTCACTGTTGTTAAAACTAATGCAGAGGCCAAGAGTAAGATACTGAAGGGGGATTGATGATTTAATATATGAGACATTGAGGTAATGATGAAATGAGATGGGGAGTCCAGGTTTGCTTCTGTCCAGGGGGCTTGGTCTTTTAACATCTTGTTTGTTGCAGGTTGGTTGTATATTCCATATGGGGGCTTGGATTTTTCCTTGAGGTCCTGAAATGCCTGAGAGCTTGATTTTTTGCTTAAAGCTTTGATTATGTGGGCCTCTTATTCAATATTGACTTATAACCACACCAGGAAAAAAAGGTTCATCACAGAATCAATGACTGGTTAAAGATGGCATTTCAAAAAAAAAAAAAAAATTACACCCCCTGGGTTTCAGCCACAAGACCCACATTTTCTTCATTAGGGCTCTACCAAATGCCTACTACAGAGATAATTTATTTGATAAATATTTAATGACAGTCTATGTGTTCTAAATCTGTTCATGTAGAGAGCAATCCTGATATATGTGGGTCTGACAAGGAATATTTGGGGTAAATGTAGGCTCTACATTGTGGGCTAAGCATCTATGGACTACTCCTATTAAGATCCAGTCATACTTTATTTGTTTTTTGATGAGGTCACATTTCACACATGATACAATCCTTCCACAGGCCTGCCTTGCTTGTGTTTCCTCCCAGGCTGTACAACCAGGTTCCTGGCATCTTTTGGTAACACCATTTACACACATGAATTTGAAGGAAAGTAAGATGAGTAATTTGATCAAACATGCAGTCTTCTGGGTTTGTTTCATGTTGGGCAAGTCAGGATGGTTGTTTCCAGTGAGAATTGAAACAAGGCTTTCAGTGTTTTGTGGAACTAGCATCCAAATGAAAAAAGTTTGTAGTGCTTGTCTTATACTGTTCAGAGATACCATTGACAATTCTCCTTACACATATCCCCTACTTAAACCCCCATCTTTTCACCATTTGTGTTAATAAATTCTGGTTCAGTCCAAAAATGTATCCAATTTTCTTCTGGCTTATGATTTCAATCAGCATCAATGTGAAATTTTTAATCAGTATCTTCAGCTATGAGCCAGTTATGCTAACAGGAGTGCTAGTATGGCGTAACAGAGCAGAATTCTGCTTAAATTTGGTGTAGCACAGCAGAATTCTGTGGCATCTGTGCTAATGCTGTGGTAAAAGCTCCAAGGACATTAAGAGCAACAAATCACACAAGAATCAAATGATCAAGACCTCTCGGGAATTCCCCAAAATCTCAGAAAAAATCCAAAACACTAATCCAGGTATATGCCCATCAACATTGGGGTCCGGGATACCTTGATTTGTGAACAGGTATTATTTAGCCCAGTAGACATCAGAAATTAGACATACCCATCTCAAGAAATATGCATAGCCACACCTCTTCTCCAAGAGTCCATATACTCTTCTTCTTTTCTTGTTATCTTAGTCATCCTAGATCCTAGAGAGGCAGTCCATTAAAGCACCATTCCTTCTCAAGCTCTATTCCTCCCAAGAGGAGTTCCACAACTCCACTGCACTCATGCTCTGGCTAGTGGCAATTTGGCCCTGGAGCAGTCTATTTTAGTGGCCCTGAGTGTGCATGAGCAAAAAAAATGCTAACACTACGTGATTTATCATTTCAGCACAAAAAATGCCATCAATTTTTTTTTTTGGGAAAGGCACACAGTACTATAGTGTAGTGGCCTATTGTTGGTACCTTTCACATCAATCCACACCATGATAATTTATTTTAACCTGAGTAAGCTGAATATAACCAAATGAATAAGTGCATGAAAGAGTCAAACATAACATTGTAGGATTGAAGGCATTTCATTCAACTGTGCCATGAAATGTAACACTAACAGTAACACCTGTTTTGGCCATTCAGCTTGATAAATCTCAGACTGAATTGGTTCATGGCCACTTGAACATCTATTGACAATGACCAGTACTCAATTTCTCTTCTCCTCTCTTGATGCTATTTTTGGCCTATGAAACCGGATCCTTTAAATCCCCATCACATTGGTACTGGGTGTGCAACCGTGTGATGGTTTCATTATCTTGACTAGCGATGGTGATGGTTTACAATATCTCTCCACAAGGAGACCATGTTTTGAAGGCTGTTATAATGACAAGATCGGAGTATGGAACCTCATATGTTGACTGGAATAACTACCACTCAACCATCACCAAGAGGCCTATCCAGAAAATTAGCCAGTCATCCACTTCAAGTCTATTCTCACCTGCTGTTCTTATCATCAGATTCTTATCTCTTTTGCTGCTTCAATTCTGTCTTGAATCATTTTGCCTTCTTCCGATCTTTTATCTTATGCAATCCTCTGCATTCCAGTTCCTTTATCTATCTGTCTATTTCCATTGATATTGCTTTTGAATCTTATAACTGATTATCAATTTTTTAACAAGATTTTCTTGTGGGTTGGCTCTGAAATAGATGGCCTGGTGAGAAGATCCAGCTGTCAACAGGCTCAAGACAAAATGAGACAGGAGTTGTTTGTTCAAGTGTGTTCTGATCTCAATCAATGGCTGAATCAATCTCCCCTTGCTTGGACTATTAATGATTGACCAAGACTTGTGCGGGGCTTTGTCACAAGATTCTGTGTGGCCATCGAACAATGATTCTTGTGGGCCAATGAGAGTCAGAGCAGGATTGGCTGGCCTATAATCCTCAAGAGGTCTGACCTTAACCGCAAGATTGTCCTATTTCTTTTCTTTATAACTTATAAGTGACTTTTTTTTGTGTTAAGATAGTATACACATAATCAAACCGGTTATCCATCTCCGTCCTCACTCCTCACATCACCACCATGGTTGACAAACGCTCTCCAACCAGAGCAATAAGGATCATCTAGACCAGAAGAGCCTGTCTGCCCACACAGCCACCAGGAGACAGACCTCTCACTGATCCCGCAACAAGCTTGTGTTCACACAATCCCCCAAAATCTTCAGCACCACATCGACCATCCCAGCCATCAATGTCAGCGCCGGTCTCTTATGTGACCTGGCGTTGATGGGTTTGACGGGTCACACTATAACTGCTAGTGTTACTAGCAGCCAGTGGATGAGAAACCTCGCCTCGACGCTAGAAAGCGGAGGGGTTAAGCTCCCTAAGTTTATAGGGGACGCGTGCGGTAGAGTCGTCGCAGCGCCGGGCTTAGAGGAAGGTTCAACTCTCTTCTAGGCTACAGTATTGACTTTACTGTAGTCTAGGGATGAGATAAAGAAGTAAGGATAATAGTAATAGTAATATAGATTATAATAAAAACCCCACTCACTAGTTGTAGTAAGGTGAACAGGTTGTATGGTAATAATCTCTAGGGGGAGGATTCTGGGGAAGAAGACCTCCCCCTTAAGTATTACAAAGGCAGGGGTCAACCTGCCTGTGAGACCGGTGAGGCCTGCAGAGGATCATTTATGTATATAATCATAAATGATCAAAATATGTATTTAAATTAAGCTTTAAACCAGAAGTGGAGGAAATGATGTCATTCAAGCTCAAAGGAGAAAGAATGATGTCATCTCTCTAATTACAGAGTATAGAGAGATGATTAAGATTTCAAATTGTATGTATATAAAATATGAATATTAATACAGAGGTGAATACTTAAGTAATTCCGTGGAATTACTTAAAGCATAAAAGTATAAAAATAAGATAATAAAAATATAAGATTACATAATTGGGATTTGAACCCAAGTGTGTTGGTGAGGCAAAGTCACAGTCCTTAACCAATACACTACAGTACATGTGTTTGTTGGTTAAGTACAGGTTGTAGACACATGGGCTACAGCCTCAGTGTCTGACAATCAAGGTACAATACACTCTTGACCGCCAAGAGCCGTACACTCCCAGCCATTGAGAGTGTATACCTGCAACAGCCAAGAGCAATCCTCTCAACTGTTGAGGTATACTCTCAAATCCTAACTAATTTTTTTTTTTTTTTGGGGGGGGGGGTCCGACTGCCAAACCTGCTGACAGGTTTGGAGGATTGACTCCCAAAAGTCAGGGGAGGGGGAGGACGTCCTAAGCCAGTCCTCAAGACATCTCCAGGGTTTGGGAGTCGATTATTAGCCGAGCCCAGCTAGATGTCAAAGTCCCTCCCTCCAGATGGCACCCCACAACAAGTGGTTTATACCACTCCAACCAAGGGGGGGTAGGACTTAGCCAAGACAGCGTCTGCCTAAAATATGCATAGAAAACAGACCAAAAAGCTAACCAACTGAGGGAAAAAAAATAAAAGAGCTGAGATACAAAAAAAAAAAAAGAAAAGTGTCTCTGATCAATAATGTTTATTGAGTGTTGTTGTGTCTGTTGGGTGGATTTCTGATCTTGCCCCATTCTCTCTCTCTGTCTGTCTGTACCATAAGCACCCTATCTACATGTACCAAAAAAAAAAAAAAAAAAAAAAACACACTAAAAAAAATCAACTTTCATACACACACAAATGTCAAATGAGAATACCACCACACATCAACAACACACACACACACATTCATACATAAATACACAACATTCATTTCACACGCCCACCCACACTCTTTGTCTCTCTCATTCACACATTCACACATTCACACACAATAAACAACAACAGGATAAGTATAGAAAAAGAAATGATATGAGAGGTGGAAACAAAAAGAATATGGGGATGAGGAGAGAGGAGGCTTGTATGTAAGGAAGGCAAGATGAGTCTCTGTTCGTCGGCGGATTAAACACAGGAGTGAATCGAAAGAAAACCATAAGAAAGAAAAGAAAATGTCAAGGAGGATGAGGAGATGAGTGGACAATGAATCAAAGGCTAATCAGAAGTCAAAAGGAGAACCTGATCAAAACGGTTGTTGATGATGATGATGTTGAAGTTGTTGTTGAGGATTGGGAAGTTGATGAAGTTGAGGATGAGGATGAGGAGGATGTTGTTGGTGATGATGATGAAGAGGCGGATGATGATGATGAAGATGTTGATGACGGAGGGGTTCGATCAGTTGGGACTGAGACTGGGGGCACGGGTGTTGGAGAGGAGAGAGGGCGAGAGGGGGGAGATGGATGGCGGAACGAGGGGCGGAAGAATGGATGAAGAACTCGGGATTAATGTTATGGTTATGAGGAGGAGGAGGATGATTGTTCTGGGTGGGAGGATAGCGAGCGTGTTGGGGGAGGTTAGGGCCATCGGCCCAGACCACCCCGGGAAGACCGGCGTTGGAGAAGTTGGAGTAGAAGCAGCTGGCCCGTTTGGGCTGCCGGTCAGCCTCCAGATTCCCGTCTTCCATCATCGGCGTCCCCCGCTTCCAGGGCTCGCTGCCAAAGACATACACCGAGCCTTGCGGGACCTCCTGACGGACCACCTCGTCTGGCCCGCCGCGCCGGCCGGCGGTGATCGACCGGAAACATAGCTCCGGTCGGTTCGCGTGTCCGTTGGCGTGGGTCGGGACGATCGCCGTGCCCAGATAGGCCCCATTGGCATCCTGCAGGGAGACCATCGGGGCTAGCTGACTCAAGAGTTGCTGCGAGCTCGGCGTTTGAACACTGCTCGGGATCCGTGTGGAGGATGAGACGGAGGTGCTGATCGAGCTCATCCGCTTCTGACGATTGAACTCGTTCATGTTCTCCTCCAACTGATCCTGAGAGGAAAGATACTCGTCCACGTTCCGCTTGCCCGAGGTGTTCAGCCGAGTTGGATATCCGTTCGGGTAATGGATCGTCCGCGAGCGTGGCGGCAGAGAGGCGATCTGTCGCTCCCTGAGCTCGATCTGTTGTTGAGGAGTCATCGATAGTGCGCTGGAGGGCACGATGGCCGAGTAGACTGATGAGACACTTGAGGGTGATCCATCCCATCGAGGGAATTGTTGGATGGGGGTGGTGTGTGTGGAGGAGACGACCAGGCCTCTTGCAGAGCGACGAAGATTGTAAGGATGTGAGGGCTGAGCCTGGATTCGGGTAGGAGGAGGAGCAGGAGCAGGAGCAGGAGCAGGAGCAGGATGGAATCTGGAGGGAGGGATGTCCAAGATCTCGCGAGGCTGGGCGGCGGCGGCGGCGGCCAGGCTCTTCTTCTTCTTCTCCTTCTCCGCCTCGACCTTCATCAGCTTGGAGTTCCGGATCGGAGAGACGAGGCCTTCGAGAACACTGAGTCCTTCGGCCGAGGCCACCCGCATCTTTTTGAACCAACGAGTCCGGGGTCCAGAGGCAAGGGCGATGGCCGTATGGCGGTCCTTGAGGTGGACCATCCCGTGCAAGAGCTTGAACCACGCGCTGAAATCTCGGATATTGACATGCAGCTCAAAGTGCAAACCCCGAAGGAATTCAATCTCGCCATCGTTGAGCGATGCCAACGGCAATCTGGATACTTCTGACCACGTCTTGGCAGTATATCTGTTTGGGGTAGATTCCATAGATCAATCAGCTTGATTGAAATCGAAATAAAACAGGGAAAAACTCACGTGTGATCATCGAGCATCTTGTTAGCCAGCATTAGACTCACCACGCCGATTCGGTATTCACTTTTCGAGTTGGGTTTGATCGGATTAAGACACTTGAGTCGATGGATGTAAAACAGTGCGAGTAAGACGACCGAGTGTGAAACTTGGGCTAATGAAACAACTTGATGTCAGGTTCTTGTTTTTTTTTCTCTCTCTCTATTGTTTTTTTTTTTCTTGTGAATACTGTTTTTTTTTTCCCCATCTTTCTTGCAGATAGAGAGAAGGAGATTTGACTAACTGGTATTGAGCAAGTTGTGAATGAACATGACGAATTCAGGGTTGGGCACTAGTTGGGCTTGAGTGATTGTGATTGATGATGATGATGATGATGATGATGATGATGATGAGGTTGAGGCTGATTGGGTTGCTGGAGCCATTGAAGTATTAGCTGCAGATGTTGTTGTTGTTGCTGTTGTTGCTGTGGGAGATGAATCGGAGGGATCAGAGAAAGATGAGGATGTGGCTGGGGGAGATAGAGTTGGCTGTTGTTGTTGTTGTTGGTGTTGGTGAAAGGCTTGGGTGCGCCTGAGGGATGAAGGTTCAGCAAACCAGAGGTAGCACATCATCTGAGCCGCAAACTCGGCGATCTTGTTCATTGGGGGAGGTCTGATGGGCAGGGAGGGGGATGGAGTCTGATCGGGAGTAGAGAGTTCGATGGCCGGCGGTCGGGAGTGAGAGTGAGAGTGATTGTGGTTGGGGTTGTTGGTAGATGGAGTTGGATGGAGTGAGTTGGTTTGATGGTTCGATTGAGGGGGGGATGATGGAGGGTGGATAGGTGGACATGGCCCAGTTGATCGGAAGTGTTTGTTGGCTGTAGTAGGATAGTTAGGAGGGCGAGATTGTGAGGTGATTGGGATTCGTTGATGATGATGATGATGGTGTTGTTGTTGTTGTTGAGTCTGTTGTTGTTGTTGTTGAGGTAGGAGTGACTGGTAGGATGGCATTATTCTGAGGGAGAGGGGGGTGTGGAGATGGGGTGGATGATCAGAAGGGAGGGAGAAGGGATGAGCCTGCTGGGTCATCTTGTTTCTTTCCAAGTGTTGAGTCTTTTTGGGAGTGATCTATCTTACCCCTTAAAGGTCAAGGCTGTCAAGCGGCTTCGTCTTGTTGTGGTGGTGGTGATTAGTCTCAAGTCAGATGACTGTCTTCTTCTACTGATGAGCCATCCATCACGAGCTAGTTTGCCTGAGTCTGAAGTCTATGTAAAAAAATAAAAAAAAGAAAGTTGAACTAAGACCCACCTCCAACACACACCTCTGGAAATTAGCTGTTGTGCTCTATTGATTCATACCCACTAATCAAGACGTAATTTATAAAAAGTATTAAGTTTTTTTATTGTATGTCCATAGTTAAGCTGTCGTC